AATCAGATTGCAGGAATCCAATTCTCCCTTATAGATACATTTGGGACCTAAGGTTGCAGTTTTAAAAAGATAGATCGCATTGACAAACCCCCTAGTTGACGGAGACAACACTATGATATAATATGATTATAAGAGAAAAAAGCCTCTTCAAATCTGGTTGACTGAAAAAAACACTTAATTTTAAGTGAATTAAGTGTTAATGAAAAAAACTTAACTCTTAATTTTAAGTGTTAAGTTTTTTCATTAGAACTTAATTTTAAGTTTTAAGTTTTTTTATTAACACTTATTTTTAAAAAATAAGTTTGTTTTAGTAAAACTTAATATTAAAAATTAAGTTTTTGAGAAAAACTTAAAACTTAATATTAAGTTCTAAGTAAAAAAATATGACTTAATATTAAGTTAAGATTAATGCCCACCCCTAATATCAATTACTCACTTTTATGTTTATCAAAACTTGTTTTTATGAAACATGGTTTTAAATATAATAATGAAACCGTAGTATTAATCTTTATTTTTTATATTCCTGTTTTCATAACAATTTACTTTATAGATTGATTCAGTGGGTATTATTATTACTGAATATGAAAAAAAAAATCAAATATTCCGTTTTGATCATCGTTTTTGGATGGGATCGTACACCATCAGTTTCATTGTAAATACTGAGAAGGTCCTATGCATTCCCTAGTGGAAGTACTCACCTAGAGAGTACTCAAAAAGTACTCACGCTGGAAAATGCCGCGAGTACTCATGAGTACTCGGGACTTTTGAGTACTCATCAGTCGTACTCATGATGAGTTTCGAGTATATGAGTACTACACATCCTTACTTTCATGGCAGTGTATTCTGGTTGAGTACTACGATCGGTCATTTCTTATACTTGGTAGCAACTAGACTATTTAAAGTCCGAGTTTGTTGCCCTTTGAGGGCTTCGTAGACTCTGGATAAGTCCGCTTCTCTGCAACGCCACAGTCATAGGAGGAAATTATCTTGTTAAAATTATGAACTTATCGTCCATAGAAAGTCAGCGCACGATATCTTCTTCGTCCTTACACATTTCATTTTATATATTGAGTCTTTTCAGAAAAAAAGACCACAAGTACTACAATGAGTACTCAGAGTCTTGGCTATGAGTAGATGTGTAGTGGAAGATTCGTCTGAGTACGTATGTGAGTACTCGGTCATTTTACATACTCATGAATTTTTGAGAGTACTCGCTTGAGTTATCTGAGTACTCATGCTGGCAAGTCGTACTCTCTGGATGAGTACATTCACTAGGGTTTATCAAACCAACTGTTTTAGTTATTGAACACTAAACACTATCAAATAATGATCTCCGATTACGTGAATAATGGGTAATCATAAACTTACCACATCTATATAATCTAAAACGTTTTCTTTTTCTAGACAATTGATTAACAGAAATGAATTTGACAAACGATTGTCTCAAAAAATGCGCGAGGTTTTGCCACCGATGTTGATGAAGCACGATTTATTACTTTCATCTAAGTAAGTATCGAGCTATTACTTTTAAATTTATATAAAAGATACCTCTTTTCAGAGATGGAACCGGTACCGGTTACCGGCCGGTCCGGTACCGGTCTGGATTTTGGATCGACCGGTCTACCAGTCTATACTGGTCTATATTTTTCACTTTCCTGCTCTATGATTGTATTCAAGGTACGAAGGTAACCCACCAAAGAGTTCACTGCACAAGATTTCATTTTAAGCTTCAGCCTGTTGTCTGTAGATCGATATTTTATCGATAGGTCGGGTTTTCCTGATAAACTGGCGTATCACCAGTATCCTGTCACTATCGGTAGACCGGTCAAACCGGTATATCGGCCGGGCCGGTCCGGTCTACCTTTCTCCAGACCCGCACCGGTACCGGTCTGAAAAAAGGTAGACCGGTTCCATCTCTGCCTCTTTTAGTAGTTTCACGTCTCATACCTGCGTTTATTTTGATTTTTCAACTAAACGTAAAGTTATTGGTCGAATGGTATTCAAGGTAAAACCAAGAAATATATTTTTAAAAACAAATATTTATGAATTTTTTGTTACAGCTTTACAATAATGTACCACAAATAACAGGTATGTTACGAAAAAGTTATTTTCTTGCTTAAAAAATATTTTTTATTTTCAGAAAATTTTCGAAGTTTGTGTGTTGGTGACAAGCATTTATGTTATGTTGGTAGTAAATTAACTCATGTCTTTCCCCAATATTTAATTCGAGGTATTGACTTTATTAATATTTTTTCGTTATTATTACTTTTATTATTTAATTTAATAGGAGGTGATATAACGAATTTGTAAGTGAATTACAAAATAAAATTTTATTTCATAAATATTCTTTTATTTTTATAAATAGCGATGGTTCGGGTGGTGAATGGTAAACTAACCATTGAAAATATATACATATAATTTATGAATTTTTATTTAGTATTTATGGGAAAACATTTCCTGATGAAAATTTTAACAACAAACAGTCCAAACCCAGTACTTTATCGATGACTAATTTTGGTCCGAATACCAATAATTCCCAATTTTTCATAACTTATATTGGACTTCCATTCTTCGATGATACATATGTAAAAAAATAGAATGTTTCGTTTTTAATTACTTTTATTTTTTTATTGAAGGTTGTTCTCGGCGAAATTTCAAGTGGCATGGACGTTATTCATGCCATCATGAATCAGGGTATGTTTGAGTTTGACTAATATTATTTTAGTAATAAGCTATGTTTATTATTTTAGGAAGTGCCACTGGTCGACCTAAAACAGATATCATCACCGTCGAATGTGGAACAATCAATGAAAACTAGTATTATCACTAATCGACGATCTTGCCCTATTCTTTCCAGGCTCTTGTTTTTCTTGGTTTTCAGACAAGATTCTTTTTCCATTCCTTCT